CTCTTTTTGGTGGATCGGATGTTGGTGGGTGTAAACAGACATGTGTCCATTCGCACCTGTCGTTTCATAGAGGAAAATAGAGGTTTCAGTGAGGTCCATCTGAAAAACAAGCAGGTGGATCCAATGGGAATGTCCATGTGAAAGAGGCCTTAAGTCAATGCTTCTGTAGGAGGATGGGTGGCAGGGGAGTATGGGGAAGGTGTTGCTACATTTTCTTTTTTGCAGTGAAGCATGAACTCTGAAGGGTGATATTGTGAAAAGAACTCAAAGTAGTTCTAAAGGCTCAAGGTTTTTTACTTTACATTCTATGCATGAAGGTAAAAAACCTTCTGTGTGCAGTCTCCCTCCCCCCCCAGCCCCAACAATACTTACCTGAGCCCTACCCTGATCCAGCGATGTGCACGGGAGCCACGACTCTCTCCTCATTGGCTGAGGTGGGGCTGAACCGCGGCTCTGTGTCTTATAAATGCATAGAGTGGGGCTCGGGAGCGAGCACACACCACCAGTGCATCCAGAGCAGGTGGCTTTTTTACTAGGTGCACCGGCTAAAGAGGAGGAGCCAGGAGCACTGGTGGGGAACCCGAGAAGAGGAGGATCAAGGCTAATCTGTGCAAAACCACTGCACAGAGCAGTGAGTATGACATGTTTGTTATTTTAATTAAAAAAAATTAAAAAAAACACAGCTTTAATGTCATTTCAACTACAGGTAACTGGGGATCATTTCCGTGGAAGTTGTAAAGAAAGAGCAGCAGCGCAGGGAATGAACTTTTTTAGGCCAACTTCACACCTATGTGTTGCGGTAATGCGCAATAACCATATGTGCGTTGAGGTGTGTGTTACAATCGCAGCGTCAGATTCCAGACCTTCTCACCCAAACTCGTGACCGAAGGGCTAGCCGATCTAAAAAAAAACCGCGATGTGACGTGCGTAACAATGCCACACCCAGCTGCACCCTGCACAACGATTTTCCAGCTAATGGATACAGATCGATGTACCGGCAGCCTGAGCGATTGTTACTTGGTCAGGTTAATTACGCAATTAACCCTTCACACTGCCACCACCTCCCTTTTGTACAGAGAAAGAGGAAACTCGGCGTTATCAGCTATAACACTATAATGATTGAGAAAATCGTCTGTATAAAACGGTCCGCAGGCCGGTTATACAGAGGTTTAAACAACCACAGTAGCGTCTCTTTAGAGCAGGAATTCGTGAGTTGCAATACAGAGCTACAGAAACAGTTCAACACTTTCAGAAAGAAAGATTTATTACTATAAGGTCAAACAGGAGCAATAAAAATATTTACAGAACAAAGATGTAAATAAGTTATATATATATACATATACAAAGAACCATAGCACAGCAAAGAGATATCAGAGAGAGGTGAAAGGGTTAAAGTACTTGCCAAAGTCCTGGGTTAGCAGATCCAAATTTCAGAGCAGAAGGGTGCTTTGATCTCCCTATGTTACGATGGAAAAATGGGAGAATGCTTCAACTTCTTCCTCTTAGGCCTGACAGCCTGTTTTAAAGTCCCCAGCATGGGGTGGCTCTGCAGTCAAGGGCCAATCTCCACTTAGGGCGTATAAATATGGGTGAATGCCTCAAGTAGAGCAAAAATCTCCCATAACTCATATTTGCCTATAACTTTTCATCTGCACAAGTGACAGTCCACCTGCGGGTAGATTATTATGCAGACAAGTCTGAGGATTAATTAAATATGAATTATGAAATTATATACTGTATGGTTCACGAAATCTATGTTTCTGCTTCCTTGAGTGTCCAAAGCAAGGCAAGTGACCCATCAACTGTTCATCTGCTCATTGGCCATCTGACGAGGTGTCCGGTTTTTTATGTACGTCTCTCATATTCCCAGATATGAGACATAGGGGAAAAATGGATTTACTAGAAGGTATCTGATTCTGTCACCTACACAAAGTTAGGTTTTATGAGGTTAGCTGATAACTCTTCCTGAGGTCTGTGTTCTTTGAAATCCTTCAGAAATGAAGTAGGCAGGGCTGACAACATGTTTTGGAATTCAGAGCCATAAACATACAGTGTTGTCATGTCAAAGGGATAAGGTAGGAGAACACTATATTTCTGGGACATCAACAATTATTTTTCAATTTCTACATTGCGATTAAAGATGTACAAAACATACTTTTTTTTGTTTGCCTTAACATTAATTTATTCTTCTGGCATGTTCTGTCTATCAATGGATACACAGAGCCAGCTTGGAAGCAAGCCCGCACAAGTGCCCCATAGCAAGGGGAGGAGCCAGAAGCGCCAGCAGGAGACCTGAGAAGAGGAGGATCAGAGCTGCTCTGTGCAAAACCATTGAACAGAGCAGGTAAGTATACCATGTTTGTTACTGTAGCCTCCCTGATGGTATTCCCGAGTGTAGCTCGGGGTAAAGTTTCAGTACCAAAAGCGGTAACCCTGAGCTACACTCGGGCTTACCATGCGGCGCTGCTCCGGAATCTGTTCTTTTGTTATTTTGTTCTGCGCTCCCCCGCGATGTCCCTCCTGCAGTGTCCCCTGTAATGTCCTCCGGTGGATACCGGCATCTGTCTTCTGGGTTCCGTCCCCTGCGACGTCGGGACGTATGGGGGATGGAACTGGCGGGAAATTTGAAAATGACAAAAAGTGACATTCACTAAATACACTAAAATCACATAGTAAAACATTTCTGTATCAAACCATTTCACATACATTTTGTCCCTAGTGCTTTGTCCTGTGCCCTGCTTGCATTTTTACTGTTCTTTCTGCCTGGAAACTGAGAAACGTCCATGGCGTCCAAAAAGCGTCCCTTTATGTCAAAAGCAGTATTAGACCAGCTAGAGAACAGCGATAGTAAATTAGAACTACTTGCAGAATTGAGTGATAATGATTCGTAGGGAAATTCATCATCAGACACTTAAAACTATTTTGCGACTTTGCTCAGTGTTGTGAGAAATTGGCGCTATATTTCAAATTTCAGTGTTTTTGGTTTGATTATATTATTGAATTACATTTATTATTATTATATTATTATTTTTTATGATTATTTATTAAATTATAATTTATGATTTCGTGTTTAAAATTTTATCATACCCGGGATGTTTACTAGACTCTTGTTTGGACAGATTTCAGATACCTTCTAGTAATTCAGATCAGAATCAGATACCTTCTAGTAATTACAGGCCTACAATAAAAAAATACATATTTCCATGCAAAAAAAATGTACCGTTTTGAGCACAGAAATATGGACATAATCAGACCGCTAGGTAGGTTAATAAAAAAACCCCCAAACAACATAACGTTTACATTCACTTTAACTGTTGCACATTATTGCTCAGGGAGGGGTTCCTGAGGAGGAGGCATGGTCCACTTTAGGCACAGTCAGCAAAGCCACTGTAGTCTTCGCCATGTAAATATAAAACAGCAAGCTCAATTCACATGGTATATGTAAAGCCTAACAAAGAAATTCTCCTGCCTGTTACCTTTTGGTCTGTTAACTATACCATTAAAAGCATTTTGTTATATCCATCAGCAAATTTCTAATTTGTTATAAATGGCAAGACTACAATCCTGCACAAACGTACATGTACAGTGCCTTGAAAAAGTATTCCTACTCCTTGAAATTTTCCACATTTTGTCATGTTACAACTACAACGTAAATTCATTTTATTGGGATTTTATGTGATAGACCAACACAAAGTGGCACATAATTGTGAAGTGGAAGGAAAATGATAAATGGTTTTAAAAATTTTTTTTACAAATATATATGCATTTGTATTCAGCCCCCTTTACTCTGATATCCCTAACTAAAATCTAGTGGAACTAATTGCCTTCAGAAGTTACGTAATTAGTAAATAGAGTGCACCTGTCCGAGGTTTGTTAGAGACATTTAAAGCAGGGTTAGGTTATAAACAAAATCTTAAGCTTTGAACATCTCATGGAACACTGTTCAATCTATCATTGGAAAATGGAAAGAGTATGCACAACTGCAAACCTACCAGGACATGGCCGTCTGCCTAAACTGACAGGCCGGGCAAGGAGATCATTAGTCAGAGAAGCAGCCAAGAGGTCCATGGTAACTATGGAGGAGCTGCAGAGATCCACAGCTAAAGTGGGAGAATCTGTCCACAGGACAATTATTAGTCGTGCACTCCACAAATCTGGCCTTTATGGAAGAGTGGCAAGAAGAAAGCCATTGTTGAAAGAAAGCCATAAGAAGTCCTGTTTGCAGTTTGCAAGAAGCCATGTGGGGGACACAGCAAACATTTGGAAGAAGATGCTCTGGTCAGGTGAGACCAAAAGTAAACTTTTTGGCCTAAAAGCAAAATGCTGTGTGTGGAGGAAAACTAACTCTTTATATCACCCTGAACACACCATCCCCACCGTGAAACATGGTGGTGGCAACATCATGTTGTGAGGATGCTTTTCTTCAGCAGGGACAGGGAAGATGGTCAGAATTGATGGGAAGATGGATGGAGCCAAATACAGGGCAATCTTAGAAGAAAACCATTTAGAGTCTGCAAAAGACTTGAGACTGGAGGTTAAAAGTTGGTTCTAAAAAGTACTAAAAAGGGCTGAATACAAATGCATGCCACACTTTATGATAGTTATTTGCAAAAAAATTTGAACACCATTTATCAGCTTCCACTTCACAATTATGTTCCACTTTGTGTTGGTCTATGGCAGTGGTGGGCAACCTTTTTTTTCAACTGAGCCAAACCTTGCCAAAACCACGATTGAAATTTATTTTGAGAGCCACATTTTTAAAACTGAAAATACATCCCCCATATTGTAATTCATCCCCCATAGTAATTCATCCCCCATATAGTAATTCATCCCCCATATAGTAATTCATCCCCCATAGTAATTCATCCCCCATATAGTAATTCATCCCCCATAGTAATTCATCCCCCATATAGTAATTCATCCCCCCTATAGTAATTCATCCCCCCTATAGTAATTCATTCCCCATATTGTGTCAATTCACTTACCTTTGCTCCGCATGTTCCTCTCGCCGTGTTCCCGCACCGTTCCGGTCTTCAGGGCGGACTGTGAGAGGAGAGGAGTTCGTCACGCTGCCCCGCCTACATCCTGACAGCCAATGTTTGCCACGCTCCGCGGGCCGGATTAAAAGGTCCGCCGGGCTGTATGCGGGCCGTAGTTTGCCCATTGCTGGGCTAGCTGCAGAGTCCTGACTTTTGGGGTGGCCGCCCGAGAGGAGGGGAGGGAGGGGAGCGGGCGCCCGGCACACAGAAGAGCCGCGGCTTGCCGTCCACTGAGCTACGGCAACCCTATTGCCTGTCACCTGGTGGGCAGTGTGCTCCGGAGCCGCAGCAAAGGTGAAAAAGAGCCGCATGCGGCTCTGGAGCCGCGGGTTGCCGACACCCGGTCTATTGCATAAAATCCCAATAAAATACATTTACGTTTTTGGTAGTAATATGACAAAATGTGGAAAATTTCAAGGGATATGTATACTTTTTCAAGTCACTGTATATGCAAAAAGTCCAGCAAGTAAAAAAACTCCAAAGATAACAGTTCATATAGTGATAATCATTCTTCAGTAAAGTATATCAATCTTCAACAAAAACTCCGTAGGTCCCACCACCACTCAAATGCACTCGCCGGAGGGAGTTGCAGCACAAGTTATAGGCAGCGTATAGAGTTCAATCACATTTCCCTCTACTTTAGGGAAATGGCTTCTTCAAAGATTACATCCACCAGGTAAGTCCTCCAACGGAAATGGTAAGTGGATGGTAAAGCTAGATGTGGGGGGACAGGTGCTCTACAAAAGCAAAATGGAACAGTCATGGCCTAAAACAGGCAAAGGCAGCCAAAAAGGGCAAATAAAATCTGCAGCTTCTGGGTGGCATGATCAGAGAAGGATCCAGTTCAGTGCATGCAAAAGAAACAATATAACCAAAGCATAGGATTAGTAAACAGTAGCAACTTTTAATAAAAACATATCCACACTTGCATCAAAATAAGAGCTGAATAGCTACAACTGATGAGAAAATGATACAGGCACCATGGGATGAGTGTGTGAAGGCGGGATCAGCGAGCCAAAGGACACAGCCAGTCCTGCCAAAGGATAAACTAATGGCAGTATCTTATGTGCAACAATGCGTTTCAGGGGCCTCTCCAGTAGCACAGACCATAAGAACAAATTTGCAAAAAATTATTGATTTAAACCCAATTTTTATCACTATTAGAGATGAGCGAATCGAACCAGGCGAACCGGAATTCGATACGAATTTCAGGAAAAATTCGATTCGCGGCGAATCCGAATATTTGCCTACTTCGGGTGCGCGAAATCGGATTTTTCCCGATCAGCCGGCAAAAGTGTCCCTGCAGAGAGCTCCGCTATTTCTGACATTTCTCTGACAGTTCCTTCACATGTACAGCGGTTGAAACATTGTATCTATTAGTTTCCATTTAGGATACAGATGTTTTTATTCGGAAACAGATGTTTCAACCGCTGTACATGTGAAGGAGCTGTCAGAGAACTGTCAGAAATAGAGGAACTCTGCAGATACACTTTTTGCCGGTTTGGAATTCTTATTTTCATCCTACTTCTTCTTCTTCTTCTTCATCCTCATCCTCAGAAGAAGAAGAAGAGGATGAGGATGAAGAAGAAGAAGAAGAAGTAGGATGAAAATAAGAATAATTCCAAGCCGGCAAAAAGTGTATCTCCTCTATGTGTATCTGCAGAATAGAGGAGCTCTGCAGATACACTTTTTGCCGGCTTGGAATTATTCTTATTTTCATCCTACTTCTTCTTCTTCTTCTTCCTCTTCATCCTCATCCTCTTCTTCTTCTTCTGAGGATGAGGATGAAGGATGAAGAAGAAGAAGAAGAAGTAGGATGAAAATATGAATAATTCCAAGCCGGCAAAAAGTGTATCTGCAGAGCTCCTCTATTCTGCAGATACACTTAGAGGAGCTCTGCAGATACACTTTTTGCCGGCTTGGAATTAATCTTATTTTGCCGGCTTGGAATTAATCTTATTTTCATCCTACTTCTTCTTCATCCTCATCCTCCTCAGAAGAAGAAGAGGATGAGGATGAAGAAGAAGAAGTAGGATGAAAATAAGAATAAGTCCAAGCCGGCAAAAAGTGTATCTGCAGAGCTCCTCTAAGTGTATCTGCAGAATGTCATTTATGAAACAAATAGATACAATGTTTCAACCGCTGTATGTAGTGAATGTCACAGAACTGTCAGAAATAGGCTATTTCTGACAGTTCTGTGACATTCACTCCATACAGCGGTTGAAACATTGTATCTATTTGTTTCCATAAATGGATCCATTTATGGAAACAAATAGATACAATGTTTCAACCACTGTATGGAGTGAATGTCACAGAACTGTCAGAAATAGGCTATTTCTGACAGTTCTGGGACATTCACTCCATACAGCGGTTGAAACATTGTATCTATTTGTTTCCATAAATGGATCCATTTATGGAAACAAATAGATACAATGTTTCAACCGCTGTATGGAGTGAATGTCCCAGAACTGTCAGAAATAGGCTATTTCTGACAGTTCTGTGACATTCCCTCCATACAGCGGTTGAAACCGCTGTATGGAGTGAATGTCACAGAACTGTCAGAAATAGACAGAAACTGTCACAGAACTGTCCTTCTTCTCATCCTTCTCCTCATCCTTCTTCTCATCCTTCTTCTTCTCATCCTTCTCCTTCTTCTCATCCTTCTCCTTCTCCTTCTTCTCATCCTTCTCCTTCTTCTCATCCGTCTTCTCATCCTTCTCCTTCTTCTCATCCTTCTTCTCATCCTTCTCCTTCTTCTCATCCTTCTCCTTCTTCTCATCCTTCTCCTTCTTCTCATCCTTCTCCTTCTCCTCATCCTTCTCCTCATCCTTCTCCTTCTTCTCATCCTTCTCCTTCTTCTCATCCTTCTCCTTCTTCTCATCCTTCTCCTTCTCCTTCTTCTCATCCTTCTCCTTCTTCTCATCCTTCTTCTCATCCTTCTCCTTCTTCTCATCCTTCTCCTTCTTCTCATCCTTCTTCTCATCCTTCTCCTTCTTCTCATCCTTCTTCTTCTCATCTTCTCCTTCTCCTTTCTCCTTCTTCTCATCCTTCTCCTTCTTCTCATCCTTCTCCTTCTCCTTCTTCTCATCCTTCTCCTTCTCCATCTTCTCATCCTTCTCCTTCTTCTCATCCTTCTCCTTCTTCTTCTCATCCTTCTCCTTCTTCTCATCCTTCTTCTCATCCTTTCATCCTTCTCCTTCTTCTCATCCTTCTTCTCATCCTTCTCCTTCTTCTCATCCTTCCTCTTCTCCTTCTTCATCCTTCTCCTTCATCTCATCCTTCTTCTCATCCTTCTCCTTCTTCTCATCCTTCTTCTCATCCTTCTCCATCTTCTCATCCTTCTCCTTCTCCTTCTTCTCATCCTTCTCCTTCTTCTCATCCTTCTCCTTCTCCTTCTTCTCATCCTTCTCCTTCTTCTCATCCTTCTCCTTCTTCTCATCCTTCTCCTTCTTCTCATCCTTCTCCTTCTCCTTCTCCTCTTTCTCCTTCTTCTCATCCTTCTCCTTCTTCTCATCCTTCTTCTCATCCTTCTCCTTCTTCTCATCCTTCTTCTCATCCTTCTCCTTCTTCTCATCCTTCTCCTTCTTCTCATCCTTCTCCTTCTCCTTCTTCTCATCCTTCTCCTTCTCCTTCTTCTCATTATTCTCCATCTTCTCATCCTTCTCCTTCTCCTTCTTCTCATCCTTCTCCTTCTTCTCATCCTTCTCCTTCTTCTCATCCTTCTCCTTCTCCTTCTTCTCATCCTTCTCCTTCTCCTTCTTCTCATCCTTCTCCTTCTCCTTCTTCTTCCTCATCTCCAAGGGCATTTAAATTAAGGTACAGTGTTCTGCACTAATTTAAAGGCTCTCTGAAGCCTAGAAACCCTTTTTATAAGTTAACTTCGTAGCGAATAAATTCGCATTGAATCGAATTTCTTCCTGAAATTCGCCGAATCAGCCGAATCGAATTTTTGAATAATTCGCTCATCTCTAATCACTATGTTTCCTTTATATTTCCTTTTAAAAACAACAAATGGAATAATTTGAAGGTTAGATAAAAGGTTTAGTGTCGTAAAATATGATAGTTAAATAATTTTTTTTTATAGAGATCCTTACATCAGGCCAAAAAAAGGAACAATGGAGGAAGAGAGAGGGACAAAGGGATTTTTTTTTCCTAAAGGACAGTCCCTCCAAGTGCAGGACAGTTGTGAGTTATGCTTACCTTTCCGTCAACGGTCCCCGTCCTCTCTGGCATCTTCAGCTGGATTCTGGACTTTGGCTGTCTTCTTTGGCCATTGCAGGATTACTTCACACCTGTGCATGTGCAGGAGGCCATTATCCTTGCACAAAGGGACCATACCAGTTGTTGTGAAGAAGGCTTCAGGGAGGCCAAGAAAGTCCAGCAAGCTCCAGGACAATCTCCTAAGGTTGATTCAGCTGCGGGATCGGGGTACCACCAGTGCAGAGCTTGCTCAGGAATGGCAGCAGGCAGGTGTGAGTGCATCTGCATGCACAGTGAGGCAAAGCCTTTTGGAGGATAGCCTGGTGTCAAGAAGGGCAGCAAAGAAGCCACTTCTCTCCAGGAAAAATATCAGAGAAAGACTGATATTCTGCAAAAAGTACAGGGACTGGACTGCTGAGGACTGGGGTAAAATAATTTTATTTGATGAATCCCCGTTCCAATTGGGGCATCTGTAAAAAAAAGGTGAGGGCTATCATCAGTCCTGTGCCATGCCAACAGTGAAGCATCCTGAGACCATTCATGTGTGGGGTTGTTTCTCAGCCAAGGTTGGCTCACTCAAAATTTTGCCTAAGAACACAGCCATGAATAAAAAATGGTACAAAAACATCCTTCAAGAACAACATCTCCCAACCGTCCAAGAACAGTTTGGTGATGAACAATGCCTTTTCCAGCATGATGGAGCACCTTGCCATAAGGCAAAAGAAATAACTACGTGGCTTGGGAAACAAAACATCAAAATTTTGGGTCCATGGCCCCAAAACTTCCCAGACCTTAATCTCATTGAGAACGTGTGGTCAATCTTCAAGAGGCGGGTGAACTAAAAAACCCCCCACAAATTCTGACAAACTCCAAGAATTGATTATGCAAGAATGGGTGAATGAAGCCTTTCCCTGTGTGATGGCCATGTTTGCTCACCCATAGGGATTTTGTGCATTTCTGTGTGGGCAGTCCCATTGCTGTCAGTTGGGGTGCATCAGCTGCTCACAATATGACATCAGTGTGGGAGCATACCCCAAACATACCCAGTGTGGGTTTGGGGCCATGCACCCACACCGGCACAGATATCACATTGGGAACAGCACACCCCAAACATACCCAGTGTGGGTTTGGGGCCATGCACCCACACCGGCACAGATATCACATTGAGAACAGCACACCCCAAACATACCCAGTGTGGGTTTGGGGCCATGCACCCACACCGGCACAGATATCACATTGGGAACAGCACACCCCAAACATACCCAGTGTGGGTTTGGGGCCATGCACCCACACCGGCACAGATATCACATTGGGAACAGTGGCTGTGTCTGTGCAGCCACTGCATCCCAGCTGACAGCAACAGGACTGCCTGTATGGGCAAGGCCAGCGATGTCATAAGGCAGCTTAATCAGCCGCCTTATAGTGCCAAGATAGGGGGGGCAGTAAACTCCGAATCCCTGGCCACTTGATGGGGATTTGGAATTTTACAGTTCTGCAGTGTGTTTTTTTACACACTCCAGGCCACTATAGTGGCAAAATGCACATTCGCCTGAGTAGCCAAAAATCCTTGCACCAGCCCTGCTGTATAAAACACCTGTGCCTGGGTAAACATGGCCATCACACGGGGCATGGATTCATATGCTCAGTGTGAATGAGGCCTTTCTGATTGTTCTGCAGACCTAAACGGACTTAGATGTGGGTGGACACATCCGTTTACACGCATTTGCCCATGGAGATATAGCTTCTCCGTCTACACTCATAGGGGTTTATTTACTAAAGCTGGAGAGTCCAAAATCAGACTCCCTTCTGCATAGAAACCAATCAGCTTCTAACCTCAGCTTGTTCAATGAAGCTTTGGCAATGAAACCTGGAAGCTGATTGGTTTCTATGCAGAAGGGAGTCTGATTTTGGACTCTCCAGCTTTAGTAAATAAACCCCATAGTAACATTGGACAGAAGAAACGCTCGTCTGCATTTAAAAATGTGCTGCACTGTGAACAAGACCGAAGGTCAGCTACAAAATATGACATTTTTCTTCTTTGTTCTGGTTGGATACACTTGGACACACAGGATCTTTTATTTTTTACCCAAATAATCAAATCCCAATAAACTCCCTTACCGCCCTATAGCAGATACACTGCTACAGGGCAGCTACTCTATGAAAAATCACATAAATATACGTGATTTTACATTTCTGGGTAGGGGGCGTGCTCCGCCATACCTGCACTGCCATTGGTTGCAGCAGACGTCAATCACCAGGTCCCGGCCGGCGATTCTCGGCCGACACTCAGTGATCGCCGCTAAGACTGGGGGGAGAGATCTGTGTGTAAACAACAGTGTCAGAATGCCCACCGCAGTTCGCTATAAGCTGCTGATCATTATTAGTAAACAAAATAAATAAAAATTCCACTATACATATGTCGCCATTTGTAAACGCTATAACTTTCATGTAAACCAATTAATTTACACGTATTGGGATTTTTTTGTAGCAGAATACATGCTACATATACATTTTATGAAGAAAATTTTATTTTTTATTGGATATGTTTTATAGCAAAAAGTCAAAACTGACAGTATTTTTAAAAAAATTGTCAGTTAAAATAACGCAGCATCATAGCATAAAAAATGGCCTAGTCAGGAAGGGGGGTAAATCCTTGGAGGACAAGTGGCTAAAAAATAGGGATCCCAGTCCTAGTGTGATCCTAGTGAATGGAGTCCGATGCACACAGCCCGCTCCCTCCAGCAGAGCCCTCCTTGTCCTATAGGAGCGGACTACCACACAGCACTGACAGGCACACTGCACGGATCTATAGGCGACAAGAACTGCTAAGAAGACACGCCCAACACAGAATGCACCCAATGATCAAAGAACGGCTGACCCAGCCACGCCTCCTGAGGTTTGGTGTCCCGGCTGCCGGTAAGTGTCTCAGTGACCCTGGGAGAGTTGCTGGAGGTGGCGGTCGGCCGGTCGGTGTGTCCCCGGTGGAGGCTCCGCTGTGGGAAGGTCAGTAGTACATGAAGTTTGTATAGAGCAGTCCGCGCTGTGTCCTCCATATTCTTTACCTGTTTAGAAGGAGTTCATTGTCTTGTAGGTGGGACTGGAGTCCCTGGCACGGAGTGTCACTTCCTTATGTCTGCACGCTGTGTATAAGGAGCAGTGTGGGCAGGACTGGCAAGGTGCTGATTCTGTCTATACACCTACACGACTCTCTGAAGTCCACAGTCGTGTTTCTGAGCTCTGCTATAATAAATACATACAAGAATGTTTCCTAGACTCTGTGGGTGTGAGTCCCCTGAGTTTGAGGTTCCTGGGGTGAGGATCCCCTGTTTCTAGGCACCCCCTGCTTGGGTCCCTTGGATTTGGGTCCCCTGATTCTGAGGAATCCATTTGTGTGGGGTCCACT